CCACTGCCCACTATCTCCAAGTCACACACGTTCTCCCCCCAGGTACAGCCAACCTGGAAGGTAACCGATTCTCCACATTTATGTTTTCACAAAAAGGGGACAGAGCAGAAAGTTGTGCAGGGATCCCTAGACATCACTGCGGGGGCCGAGAAGCAGGCTAGATGCTGAGGAGATGGCAGGAAAAATGGACACGGTCAAACTCTTGTGACAAAGGATTTTTACTGAAAAGTCACACAAAAGCGGACACCTAGTAGTGCTGTAAATAATTCTATACAATTACACTCTTTGTGTATCTTATTAAGATCTTTATACTTTGCCAATATAAGCAGGCATCCAGCAAACATATCCAGAATAAAGAACATTTTATGGACGTAACACTTCATCGTAACTGGTAAGACAGCTGACCTCCAAGTCTTCCAGTAGAATGTACTTCTTTCTCAGGCACATGAATTAAGCACAGGGAAGCTGTACGCAACTCCTTGCCTGTCCAGGACCAGGAGGGTGCTCGACCGGCTCCCCATGTGCTTCTGTATGGCCCCCACCATGATTTGCCTCAGAAATGCGGGGATGTGGGGGGACAGTGGGAAAGAATATACAGGATCCCCAACAGAATCTGCTTCCCAAAGGCCACTTGTGGGGGACACGGGGCAGAACAGGTGCGCCCACACCCGCCGCAGAGAAGGACTTCACTGATACCACGAAGTTCAGAGAAAGACCACACCAGCTTTACACCCCCTTTATTTAGGGTTCCCACTATTCAGGTTCACAGGACTATCTACAGAAACACTGGGTCCATGTGCGGCCAACATGATCAGAGACAATTCACCCCCTCCCTGCGCTGCTTCCTGCAGGCCCAAGGGAACATGATAGTCTTTGTCTCACAACAAAAACTCTGTACATGCAAATAAAAACAAAACAAAAGAAAAACAAAACAAAGAAAAACAATTAATGACTATCTACAAGGCTAGCTCTTTATAGAGGCTGCAGGTTCTGGAGACTGAAGAAATTCGTACGGGTCATGGGTCACCTCTGGCTGCTCACCGACACTGAGGCGAGAAGGGCTTCCTGCACGCATGGGAAAGACAAGACATTTCAGTAGATCTGTATGGTCCAGGCTCAAATCTCGTGTCTGCTGTTAGCAAAGCCCAGAGCAATGGCTCCTGGGGTGCAGGCCACCCCCTCATCCCGCCCAGGGTACCACCCCCACCACTCCTGGGGAGGAGGCGGAGAGCCACTTGTCACAGACACGGCTGTAAACACCCTGAAGCTAGAGGCTGGCCCTGCCTTCTGCAGGAACAAAGGCTCCTTGGCCAGGAGTCCCTCAGACAAACCCTAGGTCCCCCCATACCCCCCCATTACCCCCCTGGAGTCCACCAGGATGATGGAGTCCTCAGATCTGGAGCCAACCTAGGGCTCTACCTGGAACCTACTTCATGGGCGGTTTCTTACAAGGTTAATGGGACCAGAAATACTGGTCCTTATTCAGACATTTTTTGCCAAAACTGAAGCTGATTACTTTCCCCCACCAATTATTCTCAAAAAGAATAATTCAATATTCCTACCTGGGAACTAAAACAGTAGCACAGACATTCAAGGAGCCACGAGGCAAATATTTGGTTCCCCTCCTGGCAGGGCTATGATACTCACTAAATACAGGAGCCCTGCCCTGACCAGTGCCTCAATGGTTAGAGCGTCGGCCCAAACACCAAAGGGTTTGGTGTTTGATTCCCAGTCAAGGGCACATACCTGGGTTGCAGGTTCTATTCCTCGCCAATCGATGTGTCTCTCACATCAACGTATCTCTCCACGCCCCCCCCCCCCCTCTCTAAAAACCAATGGAAAAATATCCTCAGGTGAGAATTACAACAAATAACAAAAAACATGGGCCCGCCCCTGGCCAAGGAAGGTCATGTGCTCTCCCCAAATAAGGAACGTGGAGGAATAAACTTGTCAACACACTGTTTTACAACTAAACATGGGAACAACAGACAGAAACAAACACTCCAATGTCTAACTCTGCATGGCTGCAGGGTCTACAGCCATGGCCTCATTCTGCCACGGCCCAGGGCCTCAGTATGCAGCCACCAAGGACTCCTCCTGACACACAGACTGCCAGCATCTTATGGCCAAGGCCACAAATTCGTAACACAAACTGAATTCCACTCAAACACTTCTCCTCAGTGCCCACATGACCAGGGAGGCCTGCTCTCCAAGCTCCAGGGAGCTAGAATCCTGTGAGCCTGGACTCACTGCCCACACCAGCTGCAACCCCCTAGGATCGCTAGCCTTTCCTGACAGTCACCAGCACTCCTGCTCTCCCCCTAGACTGATGAAAGATTGGGGCAGAGGTCAGGCCAGGGGCCGCCTTACCCAGGTGGTGCTGATCCCTGTCGGAGGTGTTAGACAGGGAGCTGAGGTTGGACGATGGCCGGGAGCCCCCACGCTCTGCTTGTGCCTCATGTAGATCCTGTAGGAGCTTTGTTGTCTCGTCCAAGTTCAGATGGCTGTCATCATGGTCCAGCTCCTTCTTCACTTTCCCTGTGCAAACACAGGTGATGAGACGTCGACCCAGGTCCACCTATCAAGCACTGAGTGCTGGCACTTCTGGTCTGCAACTGCAGTCTCTCACTCGTCACTATGTACACTCAGGACAATGACCCCTCATAAGTGAAGCCAGATGAGCACAGGCAAGCTTGGAGGACAGGGTGATATAGTTGGAGCAAGTGGAAGGGGTGGAGAATGACGGGAGGGGCAACGTGCCTCACAAGAAACCAGGCGCCATGCCAGAGGCCTTATGGACAGAGGCCTTGCATTCCTGTCACAAACAGCTACAAGACAAGATGATGTGTGGGACAGAGGCCTGCAGAGACCAGGATTAGGCACAGGCTACAGCCATGCCAGTGCTCACACGTCATGACGCAGTCAGTGGGCTACAAGCTGGAGAAGACAGGCTGCCTGGAGCT